TGTTTCTAAAAGTGTGAGATTACTTTATAGAGACCCATATTAGGTCACTGTTTTCTCCTGAGCAGTTTACTGGAAGTCTTATCTGCCTATCCATTCCTGTTTTTTTTTTAAGGTAGCCTGGATTACTGTATTGATTGAACTCTGCTTTGGACAGGTAAGTATATAGGGCAAATGAAGTAAGCTGGGCCGAAGGGTAGCGTATTTCTCATCACAAATGTTGAGGCATACCGAGGCTGTTTGTTGTGGCTCCATACTGACGCAGTTGGATGAACTAGACTACGCTACAATCATGGACTGTAACACCCAGCAGGAAAAAAGAGACAAACCGTCTCACAAAACTTCTGGCTTACTAGTAATGTGGTGTCAGCCCACCTCAAAGTGAATGTGTAACACATTGTACTTGTGCTCCATCAACACATTTACAACCGTATTTATACCAATGACCTTCACAAGGACCCATGTAGGGTCACAGAGGACACACTGCATACTGTGAGTCTTACCACTGTGTCTTGCTGGGCTATACTGACCAAAAGAACAGTATGGGAAGGAGGGTGAAGAAAAACACAATGTTGAAACAAAGTAACATTCATCTCTCTCCAAATTGTTCCTGACAAGTTTTTTGTATTGTGACAAAAGCAACCTTGTGACATGTTCAGTCCTGCTACCTGTGAGAAGGCACTCAGACAGTTGGCACACAGAGTGTCTTCTCTTAGTTCATAAGGAAAAAAAGTTAAGGCATGTTTTTCATGCAATATATTGCCCTGGATGCCTCATGGGTGGCCATGCTAGCACGTTAGAATACTGTAATGCCTAGATCTTGTAATTTAAAAGGATAGGATCAAATCCCATGGCAGCAAAATGCATTTTTCTGGATTTATAATACAAATATATATATATATTGCTTTATAATAAAACAAATATGTTATCATTTAATATATTGTCTAGCTATGCTGGAAAAAATAAATGCAAATATTACTTTTTCTACTCTGGTGGATCAGATTAGCTTGATTTGTCATCCTCTAATTATAGATGTCCAAGGAAATGCTGGGTGACATCCAAGTGTGACATCTCTGTATACAGATACCTGGGACAAAAATTTCTATCCAGGTACAGCTGTATGTTTAGGACATCAAACAGATTATGTGCATCTAATGAATAAGGTACATGCATGTGTATAATTATTGAATCTGTGTATCATAGAGGAATGCAGTGGACCCTTTTTGCAACCAGATATGCATGCATGCAAGCAAACATTCATGATATGTCTAAATATAGTGATCATTTTGTTGAGAGAAACCTTTGGTCATCTAGTAGTCTCTGAAGAGTAGCAATATGGTATGTTAAGTATGTAAGAAAATGAAAGTTAGCTTATTTGAGAATAAACTGAATCTTCCTTAAGAAAATGTAGTACCCAGACATTCCAGAAGCTTAGGAAAGATTTGTTCTCACCCTTAGAAGAGGGAGGTTAAAGTGAGGAACACAAGATAATGGGAAAGAGTGGGTCATTCTATCAGTTTTCTCACAGTTGTTACATCAGATGGGGTTGTGAATAATAAGCTGTTTGACTGAGCTGATATACTGTTCTGTCTCATTTAGAACTAAGAGCTGTATTACTCTGGAGGAAGAAAAAAACCCCAAATGTAAATATGTCTTCATATTCAGGCCACAAAGTGTGAATGCCAGCTCCCGGATGCAAGCCATTGAACAGTAAAGTGGTTGCCAATGTTCCAGGTGCTCATAATTGAGCTATAAAGGCAACACACCTTTTAGAAGGTGGTAAGTATATGTCTGTCTTTTTAACATGACTGCGTGATTTAGTCTGAACTAAGCCTCAGCTTTGCAGAAGTACATTGGAAGATGCTGAGGGGTATAATTTCAATGCAGAATTTACTTTTAAAAAGTTTATTTTTTTACCAAAAAATTTTCAGAGAGAAAACCTAATGTGAGGATAATTTCTTATGTCCAACCAAAAAACCATCTGTAACAAAACCATCTTTAAAGTTTATGTTACTAGTTGTTACATGGTTTTTCTGTTATTCTACTGTATGCGAAAGATAGGTAAATATTAATGCCAGATCACAGATGCAAAACATGGGTTTTGTGTTTAATTTATTTATGTGTTGTAATGCACCAAATGAGCTGCCAAGCCGGGATTAGAGTCAAGGGACTTTTTGACTCCCATTGCCATGAGTTTACATTTAGAAAACAAATCTCTCAATGCTGTACATTTTTCTGTATTTTAAAAAAATTGTTTCTAATCTTTGCCTAATATCAGTGTTACTGACAAATACAAAATCTTCTCTCTTTTTTCTTTTTTTTTCCCCAAGCATGTAATGTCCAACCTGCAATGTGATTACTGCTAGGATTGATGTAAACATACATAGCAGTATGACATTTACAGACCTAGTGGTTAGTAGTCCTGACCTAAATTGCTGAAAAAACACATTTTCTTGTGTTTAATATGTTTTGGTTTTTTTTTTTCCAGAGTCACTATCAAGATTGGTAAAAACCAAAAGACTCGAGATTTTTCTAAAGTTTAGGAGATCTGGGTACAGGGTATTGACTCAGATTATAGGGGTGAGCTCCAAATGGGAGGTTGAGATCCCTATTGTTTTAGCATGTATTTTGATCTGGACTGTGGAAAATGTTTTTTTTTTCTAATTTCCAAACAACTCTATACATTCGTGCTGATAAAATGCTGCATACACATGTGGTGAATACTTTTATCAATATGAATTTCCCATCTATAATGCATATAAAGCTGACATCTCAGCTATAGCTCCAGAGACTTAATTTGCTTCTGAAATCAGCTCTGCTCTATGTCAGGAATAACATACTGCCATGGTAATAAACTGTAAGCTCGCCTTTATGAAATGTTAATAACCCCCTGGATTCTGGCAAATTCATGCTCTTCCACATGGTGCCAATTATAGTGAGACAAAACCAGAGGTATATAAAAACTTAGGCATATAGTCAGTTTTTGTCCTCAGGCATGAATAATTAGGATGAACAAGAACAATCATTAATATAGTAAATTTTCTCTATGGGTGCATCTTCATATATATGAAAAATGGGACTGTATTGAAAATAGAGTCTGAATACAGAGTCTGCATTTATTTTTCCCGAAAGCATTTTACCTGATTTTTTTTTGTGTGGGTCATTTTTGCATAAATGTATTATGACTGTGACAAACACATGAAAAGCAAGTTTGATGAGAGCTCAGTCTAACTACTAGCTCATTGTGTACTATCATGCATTCTTCTTATTAGACTGACTAGTATTCACAGCCTGGTATTCCATCTTTGTATTGATAGAGGTATCATTTCACATCAGGGCCTTATGGTCATATTATCCTTACTAAAACAGCAGTTGAGTAAACTGGATTTCTAGAAGACCTGCCCCTACCACTCAATACATTTGGCAGGCAGGTTGATTATTGAGAAATCTGAGGTAAAGGACTCTGTTCTTTGTAAGGCCCAATCATGTTGCTGTCAGAGCGTATATGGCAGCTTTTTGTGTACTGTTATCTAGTGGTAAATAAAAAAGCAGGTAAATCTGTCTGCCCAGTGTTCTGGACAGGACAGAGAAAAGAGGACAAACTTTGTATTTCCCAAATTAGAAGTGATTAAATGTCACCTTGTGTTGCACCCTCCTTATGCCACTGTATGTACTTATGTCCCATGCCTGATTGGAAAATGAGATCAAGATGTATACAGAAACAGATGTGAATTTTTTGTTTAAAAAACAAGCTCTAAGTGATTAGTTCTGGATAAGAATCTTTGAAAGTTCTAATTAAAACTTAAAATTTCTGTTTCTGTATTATCTGTCCAAACTCGTGGACATTATCTCTCTGGCATTTGAGTTGGAAGAAAGGACGGTATGCAGATATGATATTAAAAAGCCCTAATAACATTTAAAAAGAGAAAAAATGAGGCCAACAGACTCATTTATAGTAGTGACCTGATATAGTAGTACTGATATGTGTTGTTACTCCATATAAAATATTTGTGCACAGCCACAAAGAAATGTAACTCAGCCACACAAATACTATGTGGAGGTGAACGTTTCAAATCATTCTTGATGGTTGTTGCACTGAGCAGATATTAAGGACAAGGGCTTGGTAAGGAATTTTCAAGTGAGTTAAGAACCAATAAATGTCTAAAGATATCTTTGAATAGCTTTTAAAGCTATTTTATTCATGATGGGCTGACCTAAATACTATGGATGTTTACTTGTCTCTCTCCTGCAGTAGATGGGGAAAGATAAGTTGAAAGTGCCAGAAGCTCTCCGACATTGCCTTCCCTCATTTTTCTGTGCTGTTTGAAGTGTGCATGATTTATCCAGAACTCTTCATTGCAATGAAATTCCACCTCAGTGGTGGTCTGCTATCCAAAAAGCCCACTCTTCCAAAGTAAGGAAAAAAATTTCCCCTTAAAACTTTTTTTACTATTGTTCTATCAGCAAACACTTTAGCAGTATTCTTGCATCCAAGTGTTCAACTTCCATGATTATTCCTTGTGGTTAAGGTACCTTTTCTCTTGAAACATAATTTACTAAACATTGCAAAGTTCGTATAGGCCAAAACACACATGAAAATGTTTTGTTAAGCTGCCTGATATAACAAAGCTTACATTTGTTATGTACAGAGATCCACTCAGATATCATAAATATCTGGATGACCTGACAGAGGTCACTTAAAGGCTTGAGTTTTTTTGTATATAGTGTTATACAAATTCAAAACCCTATTTCAGTGTCATAGGTAATGAAGGAAAGAACAACACCCTTCTGTCCATGACTACAAATTTCTCTTTTACGGTAGTGCTCCCCTTCCCAGTGCAATCAGTAATATGAATTATCATCTCTGCATGCATTGCCTTCTCATATTAAGCTTTGTCATGTGGATATCGTCATTGCTGTATTTGTCCCAATGCCTCTCTGTTGCTGCCCTGTTCCCCCTGTCATCAAGTACATACAGAAACCCCAGACATACTGGTATTTACCTTATAAATACTGATCCAACACTCTCTGTAGGACTGACTGGGGTGTCATTACTTGAGTTTCGGAAGCTGTTCCAACTTTCAGAATGAAAAACGGAGTCCTCTGAAGAGTTTCCTTTTCTCAACATTTTAATGGAGTTAACTGCAGGCTTAGGTAAATTCAGTTCTACAGTGATTCTTGAAACTTACAGCCTTTCACTGCTGTAGGAAGTGGTGTCTTGGTGTGAGTCCAGCTCAAGCCAGATTTAAAAATCAGTTAATGAGTAACGTATTGATGCGACGTCATAAGGGAGTTTACTTTTTTATCCGCAGCACTTCATAGGTTCACTTGAAAGCAGAAATCATCTAAATCTAAGTGCACTGTGTCTTTGAAATGTCATTATTAATAGCAATATCTTGTTTCAATGCATTAAGAAGGAATGTAAAACAAAAACTCTTATTTCAAATGATGTTTTGCTGACATTTTACCAAAAACTGTAATGTGGTCTGTTATAAATTCTACTTTGTGAATTATCTATCTGTCTCTAAGTACCCAAGTTTGAATAACGTATGTATATATTTCAGACATGACTATGTCCACCCGTCCTGACATGTCAGATTATTATATTGCACTTCTCTGGTGATAAATTTGTGCACATGTGTGCATGTACCTGCTATAAAGTCAAATCATTGCAGATCAGTTTAAAAATAGATAGTATTAATTCTCAATGCACCAAAAGCCAGTGGGACAAAACAGTTTGTCTAACCAGTTTTTCCATAGGAATTGGCAAACATTAACTACTAACACAGTTTTCTGTTTGTTGAAGATTACTATAATGATTAGGTTAGTCAAGGAAATGATCAGCGATGTTTCTTTAGATTGCAAATCCTCACACTCGAGGCATCCAGAAGTTCTGTTAGACTTCATTTAGGACCTGCACTGTAATGAGGGTTTCTCTATGAGACTGAACAAAGATATTGAATGTGGTACTCTCTTTCTATTCTTAGCATCTATAAACAGATTGTGAAACAATACAAATACAAATGCATTTGGACTGTCTTTGGACTGTTCACAGGTTTTATTTGTAAACTCAAGAGACATCTAGTTATACTATGATGCGTTTTTGGTTTTTTTTGTCTCTGGTTTCTTTGTATAACTAAATACTTGGTCTTTTTAAATAGAAAACTTGTTTTGTGGTCAGTATTAAACTATAATGAAATCTATAAATGTGTGAAACAGTAACTATTGAAATGTAGGATTAGCATAATAGCTAAGAAGCAAAAGTAAAGATGAAACAGCTATTTCCTTGGAAGTGAAAATTCCAAATAAATGTGAGAAGTCTTGAGAGAGAAAAGGAAGAAAAGGAATGAAATACATGCTCTTCATCATCTTGGGTATTCCCTGTGAAACTTGTACTTAAGAAGCTGTATTTAAGCTACTTGGAGTCTGACTTAATGCCTCTTTGAGTAGCTACTCTGTACATCTTTGGTTTCCTGCTACTTAGGCCTTTTTGTTAGTCTGCATTTGATACTACGTGATCATAGGCCAGGCACAAGACTGGCCAGCTAGGCAAAGTCTCTGTACTTTATTCCTCCTCCATAAAACAAGTGCTATAACCTTCAACAAATATTGTAAAGAAAAGCTTTTACCTTCTCTGGTCACAAGAAGAATTGGCCTTGACTATTGTTTATTTCACATCTACTCACTTAGGATAGGAAGTCTTTATTCTTCTCAAAGAAACATACATTCTTAAAACTGATTAGAAAACTTAAGTGACATACTGAGCTTGTAAATCATTAATATGAAGTATTTATCTTTGAAAACAGTCTATTTGTACAGTAAAATGTAATGAAACCCTTCATTAAAAGTCAGAATGGCAACTGCGTTCACTCTATATGTTAAAGAACAAGTACAGAGAGAAGGCAATTGTTTTTTTCCCCCAAATGGATAATTTCAGGAACATTTTAGCAAGGAACAATTATGACATGGTTCCTTTCTTCAATGTTATGCGTCTTTGCTGTAGTTTACAAAATAGTCACGTTCTCTCACAGAGTACTGTGTCTGCTTCTGAGCAACTGTTTTCTATCCTATGCTACCAGCAGGGTAAGTCTGTATTTTCCAGCCTGCAATTATGTCACTACTTGCACTTGTCTGTACTGAATGGCTTCTAGGTTTGCCCACGCTAGTGCAGTACTAACCAGGTCAGGTACTAGGCTAGGGAGTTCAGTGCTTTTGTGTCTACACAGCTGGTATTATTGAGCTAGTCTAGCTTTAGCTCAGGCCTGACTACATAGAATCATAATGTCATTTAGGATCAAAAAGACGTTTAAAATGAAGTCTAACTGTAAACCTAGCGCTGCCAAGACCACCTTATGAACTTTACTGCAGTGGGACTTGGTGTTATGTAAGGTCATGTAAAGCAAAACAGGCTTGGGTGACTGTGCCCTGAGACTCTTACTGCTACTGCTTATTAAGAAGTCTTACCTTTCTTGGATGTTGCAACAGTTACTGCCTGGATTAATGGAAAGAAGAGGAGCAGGCCTTTAAGATGCATTTCTGGTGGGAGCAGAGAGGTATAGTGGTGCTGGTGCTGTCATTATATGCCCAAGAGATGGAGATTTCCTCTCCTGATTATCAGGCTCATACAAACTGAGTTTGCTATTGATTTCTAGTGCCTCTGCACAACTGTGATCTTGAGATGTTTTGGAGATGTTTTAGGGCTGGAAAATAGTAGATAGTTATTTGCCATTAGGAACCCGAAAAGGCTGATTTGATAATGCCTGTATAAAAGATAAGGCTTGAATTCATGCCATTTTTATTTTAAGAGCATTTAAGCTGTATGATCAATTTCGGGATTGCCATATTTGGATGCAAGGATATGCAAATTTTGTAGTTTATAATCACTAGGCAGATTTTTAAAGCAGTTGATCACTCTTTGTCTTTCTGATTCCTGGTATCCATAACTTTTTTGGGGGGGTAGGTTTAGATAGCTACAGAAATGTCACATATAGAGGTGTGGGGCAGATACAGTACCTTATTTTCTTATCTGCTTGCTTCAGACCTCTTAGACAGATACTAGTATCTTTTCTCTTTCTGATGTGGTGGATCAGGTGTGGGAAGAAGTTGATACTCCTGATGGTGTGGCTATCTGCTGTACACAGACTTCTCCCCAGAGAATTGTTCTTCATCTTCTGAAGAAATTGGTAGCTCAGTGGCTTGTAAGCTTGAATACTTTTTTTTACTTGGTCTCTTGCTGCCTCATACAATGAGAACAGCTTTCCCGCTTTATTTGTGTTCCTCTTCCTTTAGTTTATTTTTCAAATCCATATGTGTATTTGGCCCAGTGTGTCCTTATTTTTCTCAATTATCAAACTATGCCCTTTAATTCTGACCTTTGTCACTGACACTCTCATATCGCTTACCAGCTAGACTAGATCTTGTGGAGTCTAGCACTTTGCAGTCGTTTCTGATAGGCAGGCAGAAGGGAAAAAAATGTGGTTGGTGTCCTTGAACCTCATACAGTTTTGTTGTCAGTCTGCAGCAGTCATCACTAAAAGGTTAGAATTTGTACAAATATACAAAATGTACAAATGTATTTTATTTTTTTATTTTTTTAATACTCGTGACTACCGTGATTTATTTTTTTTTAATTTACAATTAAGTTAATTACTCCAGGAAAAGAAATGGTAGATCATTATTGCTTTCGTGATCCCTGGAGTGTTTCTTCTGAGGACAGTGATACTGGGAAATATATTACTAATGCCAATTGTGTTGCACCCATTTTAGGTCCTTATGCCTTTACTAAAATGTCCTCATGTTATTGGATAGGGAGCAAAAAGTGATGAAATCTGGGTATTCAGAGAAAGAGGTTTCATTTATACTAGAAAAGCCTTTGTGCTATGTGATAGGTAACTGCTAAGAAACTACATAAAGTTCTCAAGTTGATGTGATGATAAAGGGAGATGTTGTTAACAAAATATGTAAAGGGAGGTTGGGAAATATATTCTGAACAAAACATTCAGTTTTATTATCATCCAAGAATGAATCAAATCAACAATAAACCAGCTGCTGTACTTGTGGCAGAATGTCATACTATTGATTTGGGACGGTAGTGAATGCTATTATGTAGAATCTTATAAGAGTTTACATCTTGGCTGGAGTGCAGCTACAAAACCTTATAGATTTTTTTTATAAAGGGCAGGGGAATTGATGAGTGGGCATTTTATCAGTTTGCTCTGAGAATTTACAGCCCTGTAAATTGGAATAAGACTGTGCATTATTCCATTATGATCCCTACAATTACCAGGTGGAGGATAGAGGGAGCAACGTTTAACTAGTGGCCTGAAGAACTGAGTTCTTGCTTTATGGGTTTAGCATGCATAATTTTTGTTTTCTATCATATATACAGAAGCAGCTGCCCTGATTCAGAAGTGACATTGTCTTTCATGGTTAGGATTGCCTTCAGTTTTTATTTTCCTTTTCGCTGCACAAGTCTGCGCAAAAATTAGTATTTTTCCTCCAAACTGTACACTTGAAAAGTGCACCTTTCCACAGATAATTCCGGAAGGAAATATGGATCAGATGTACTTCACCCTAAAATCGGTTTGGACATTTTAAGATAGGTTTTATGGCTAGTGTTTGATATTCCTTTTTCTAATCTTAGATTTTTTGGTTTTCCTTTTGAACTGGGGTTTGATCTGTTCTACCCTATACTTAATTTGCAACAGTGAGATACACTTAGTTTGTGTGTCGGTTGTGCCTATTTCTGCTTAAACTTAAACAAATACTGTGTTAAGTGGGATGCTACGGGATCTGGATGCTACCATACTGAGGATTGCTGTGCCTCCTTCTGTCCTGCTCTGAATGCTGCAGAAGACCAGAACTCATAGAGTTACAAACACATTTACAGAGCAAGGAGACAGAAAACTGCTTCAACTGGTTAGGTGCAGTGAGAGAGGTAGATGAATATGTAGAATGTGTCATAGAAGAATTCATAGAAGAATGACACCTAGAGGTACATAGGAATGAACTGAATGGTGTGTTTTGTGGAAGCCAGTACTGTTTTCCTCTCTAGTAATCTTGCAGTTGGAACACGCACTTAAAACTATGTCTTTTCTGCTCCCTGGTGTGGTGGTCACCTCAGGAGATGCTATTTCCTTACTCCAGTGCATGAATGATCCCCTTCCTCCTCCTGGAACTCCCATGTGCTCAACGTCTGGAGCACATAGCTGAGTCTAA